CTTTAAACTTTTGCTCCTCATCTTCTTTATGTTCCTTCCCCATACTTATTGTGTATGAATTTCTCTTATTCACTTGAAAACAAGGAAAGTGGGCAAATTTTTAGTCTGATGGTTTCATGAATTGGGAAAGGTCTTATGAGAGCTGATTATTCATTGGAATATTCTTCTCTCATTGGTAAACATGTCTATGGTCCCTTTTTATAATAGAGAATGGAGTCCTTATCACTTATTTACTCTAATTTTTTCCTTAGATTAATTTTTATTCTCGTAACCCATGTATTTTCCTTGAACTTATTCCTTCGAATGATCTTCTTTAATTGGTTCCTACTTTTGCATAGCATAGCTCTGAAATGTAGACGCAATTGAGGCTTTGTTAATTCGTCTGGTTAAATGTTTTCCTTATATTGAAAAACTGGTTCTGAATACTTAAAATCACTTATCACTAGATTTCATTTCAAAAGAAGAAAAGAGTCAATTGAGTAGACTCACCAAATACGAAATTATAATTTAATGATTTTTTTATTTTGCCCTGCAAGTATTGGTAATGACTATACTCACGATAGTTTGACGAATGGATTGTTTTGTCTCTGTGAATTTCGAAAATGCAAAATACTACTAAGCTTTTAAACTCATTTAGATGTTGTCTGCCTTCCGGGAAGAGCGTGCTTGTTCAGAGTCTGACAGGCAACTACTTAGTCCATACGACTATGACTCCTTTGGGCTGTGGGGCAGGTATAATATAGTTCTCCCAACTCGCACCTGTATTGGCGATCTTTTATTGCCAGTTAACCTTAATATTAGGTGAGGTTAGTACTCCACCTTTTTAGATGCATTACGTTGTCGATAAGGCATGGTTTGAATTCTTGGGGACATCATAGCAAGGCTTTACTGAGTGCTGATTGTTAGCATAACTTTCACAGCTAAATTGTTGCGTTCTGATAAGACGAGTGCACGAATCTCTCACTAAACTAAAAAATGATCCAGAATTTCAAGAATGAAATTAATCTCATCATTTTTCGTTCATAAGTAGGGTTTCGTGACTACCAGTAAGTTATTTATATCAGATGTATTCACTTTATTTCGTTTAAGGTGATGAAGGACTAATAGTTGAATTTTTTCACAATGATATGAATCGACGTTTCCATTGGATTTCACATAGCCTTGCTTTCTAAAAGCTGTTCTCATCCAGGATGGACACTCCCAGCGGGAGTCGAACTATGATAGTACAGTGTGTAATCTCGACACATTAACCACTACGCCACGTTGAAACGAGTGCCTTTGGGCCACAGGGCAGATGCGAATTTCAAGGAAGGCCAGGCATTTTACCATGTCATATTCTTTGCTGGTAGTGTCGATGAAGCAAAGTTATATTTGCTATGTAGAAAAACTGGGTTTCGAAAAATCCCTTAATAGATTCATGTTGGAGTACCTTTCATTTAGTTTGCTATGACAGTCTACTACATTACCTATTTCTCTTTTATAAGTAGGGTTTCGAGACTACCAGTAAATCAGTTATATGAGATGTATTCATCCTATTTCATTTAAAATTAATCCCGAATTGAAAGTATACAATTCATCTCATCATTGCCCTCTGATTTCCGGTCAGCTGTACTACTTTTTAACTCCATCGTACGTTATAGACTAATAAGTGAATACTTTGTTCCTTTATAAACTTATTTAATGCAAGTGCTACAATACGTACAGCTATATATAATCTGATTTTTTTAGGCACATGTAAAGCAAAATGTATCTCTCTAAAAAATTAGCCGTATATATTCCCTTTGCTAGATATGTAAAAATTAATATTGCTTCAGGTTAGCATCTAGCGTTAAAATTTTATTCTCGTTTATATTGCTTTTGTCTCTGATTCCCATCACACATTTGCTCTACCAATCACATTTTCAAATTGCTCTAAAGAGACATCCTGGCTCGTAAGCGCGAAAAGTTGCGCTGTATACTTCACTATTTTGCAAGAGTTTCTCCCCCCGCCAGCGTTCCCACAGGAACCGTCACTTTCACACGACGAGTTCTATCTTCTCTGCCTGATTGGGTCTCCTCCCAGAAAACCTTTGAGACTACGCGTCTTCATGTCAACGTGACGGGATCAATCGAAGAGGCGGGTCCGGGAACTGTGCAGGTGAGTTTCAATCTTTATTTTAAATTACCCGTTCCGCTACTGCCTTCCCTGCTCTGTTAGACTGGTCTTTCTATTTTTTCTATTTTTCAACTAAATTAGACCTGAATTATTTTCTTGTAATTCTAGTGTTAATGTGGTTCTGAAGCTGCGGAATTTCATACTATCCAAGTAAATCAATTCGGTATTATGTCTACTTTCCGTATACATGGGCTAATAGGAGGATATCTCCAAATGAGTCCACACAATTTATTGACCAAAACTTTTTATTATAGGAAATTCTACCTCAAACATCACATCACTACCCTTTGCCTCCTGTCTAGTGTTAAACTCATGAAACCATTTAGGGTTAATTACATAAGTATTCAGCTACATGGGATATCAGATAGTACCAAGGTATAGTTTATTCAGATTTTTAGAACACTTTGATTAAAATTTTTCCCTTACTTTCCCAAAGCACGAATGATGCTTTCGGGGTTCGTCAAATGCGCACATTTTATCCGCATGATTTGTAACCACCATTCCTGCGTTTAAGGAGAAGAGAAAATCACTTAGCTCAGTCCCGCTGAATAGAATGATTATTTCATATTCTTTAAACTATGTGGTTTTCTGAAATATTTGCCTTTCCCAAATTTTGCTTTTTTTTAAAATCGAAAGATATAGTCGCTTATAAGTTGAATCAGCCAACTC